GGAAAGAGCACAACACATAAAAAGGTAAGCAAATGCCAAAAGCACGCAAACCAAAATGTTGCACAGCAAGGTATCGAGAGGGAGTGGACGCCGCTCGAGTAATGCTGAATTCCGATAGGTACTGGAGGCATGCAGTGAAAAGAAAGGTGAGGGGGGGTGGAAATAAAAAGATCTTTTCGCCAAAGTGGCGATCGGTGCATATGCATTTGTCTCATGCATTGCGCAGCACTTGGCATTCCAATTCAAATGTAAGTTCAAGCCCTTGCGCTTGCAGGTGTTACTTTTAACACGGGTGTTAACCGCAACAACGAGACGCCCCAGAGAAGTCGACGGCAACCAGCGTCGGTCACACTGTTTTTCACCACACTGTGTTTAAGTGGGTGGGATCGTACCTGTTGGTCGATCAGCGTGTATTCTCTGGAGTCGTTGTCGGTGTCTCTTAGACACCACTGACTCGAAAAGAGTATGACACATAAAAAGGTAAGCACATGCTAAAAGCACGCAAGCCAAAATGTTGGACAGCAAGGTATCGAGAGGGAGTGGACGTTCTCCCGTCGTAGGTCAACTCCCGTCGAAGGTGAAGCCGAAGGAGAGCGACCAAGACAAAGAAGATGAAAATAAGTCCTTACCGCAGGGCAGGTCTCCTTACTGGTGTGTCGGGCTCTCACGGGACGTGGAAAGCCATATCATGGCGGCTGAATGGGTCAGCGATATTGGCATGTGTGGGTACACGTGCAATGTGCAACTGCAGTTGTTGGCGATTGTGCCATGTCCAGTGGGTTCCGAGCAAGCAATTCAAAAGCTGGTGTTTGCCTACTCCCCTGCGAATGGCGTGTTTTGCTGCTTCGTTATCGCACAATTGAAGGTGTGTGCTTGTCAGCCATGGTCGAAAGATGACCGGGGCGATCAATGCTGCCCACGCCTCAAGAAAATAGATGGCGTTGGCCCGCTCACCTGCTGTAACAGGTTCGGGGGGCAGTGCGCCGGACACGATTTTGGCTGGACCTTCGTGTGGGGTGAAGAGCACAGCGGCCCATCCATTGTCAAGGGACCAATCCGACGGGAAGGCGATTTGGCTTAGCCCGCCAAGTTTGTTCGCCTTGTTTGCAAAAGGCGTCTGTGTAGATGATGGCGAGGGCTTGGGTCGTGGCGTGGAGTGTGATGCTCCGGGGGAGCTGTGTTGGAGAATGGGTTTATCGATCTTATCCGAAGTGCCATGGGCTTTGTGGTACAGAGCCGCAAGGGCCGATCTACCCACTCGGCCGAAAAGGTGTCCTGTGACGAAGTTGCACTTCCCTGCTGTGCGGCGTGCCGTGTCGCAGTTCATATGCCCTTGTTCGAGGCATTGAGACAGGGTTTGCGTCAGGGGTTGTTCTTTGGAGGCTTTCATGTGGAAGCCGAGTAGCGAGTTCAGCTCGCTGAATGCCCTGAAGGAGCCGTGTGAGATGCTTGTGGGTTGAATGGCTCCGTAGTCATCGACATAGTGAAGGGCAGGTGTGAGAGTAAGTACCCTTGCCAAAGCGGTGAGGGCATCCCCAAAGCGGTTGTAACCCCAAACGCCGGCAGCGGACCCGAAGAGTAACACGTGGTGATGCCAGAGTGTGGGTCCGTTCGGTGCGAGGAGGAGAACATATGCTACCTCTGGTTGTGCCAGGGGAGCTGCCGGTATGCGCCGTCATGGTTGTGCCCCCGCACATGTAGTTGTTGGTGGGGGGTGGTGTATTGCCGCGCACACTGTGTGTAGTGGTCTGGTGTGTGGTGGTATGGTTGGTCGTTTGTGGAGCATGTTTGGTTGTGCCCGCTGCGACGCCAATCTTCGAATTGCGCGAGCAATGAGCCTCTTTTGGGACGGGAACCCGCTTCACCCCGATCGGATCCCTTTCTGATGTCCCCCCCGTTTGTTTTACTTCGGGCGGTGACCCCTTGACAGACTTGGGGATGAGGCTCGATGAGCGGTGCTGGGCAAATCACACACAGATGTGACCTGAATGCCGACGGGCTCCCTGGTTGTCGTCCCCTGTGCGATCCCTGTTCCGGGTACCCTCTGGTCATTTGGGCTGGCACCTTTCTTGACAAAGCCGTGCGCGGCAGGATCCCCCCCACTTTGGCACCGCTCGTGAGTTGGTCCACTGAGACAGCTCAACCGCTTGGGATGACATTTGTGCCCGTGTGGCGTGTCATCTAACACGACGTTTGTCGGTGTGGCGCGTCGTACATCACCCCCAGAAGTGATGATTTGACCACCTCGAGCGGCGACCCCGTGCGCCCCATCCCGACCCACCCATAAAGCCCCTAACCCGGCACATACCGACCCCTGCGTGGGCACGGCAAGCGCCACCCACAATTCTGGGATTTTCAGTCTTGCCCGTTTCGTCCCTGACCTCCGTTGCCTTTTATACCATGGCCATCCCGGAGGCAGATGAGTTGTGCCGGAACCTGCTCCAGTCCTAAAAAAGGGCATCATCTTGCAGTTCAAGGCCTTGAAGGAGCGGAACCCTCGCCTCCAACGGTCCCGAGTCAAGTACCTCTTGCTCGACTACCTGTTCATCAACGCCTCGCCTTCCACTCTGCAATGCTCCTTTTGCCAACACCAATACCAGACACAGTACATCATGCCACTGTGCTTCTCCGAAGAGACCGACTGGCACAAGAGCGCGGGGTGCGCGACCTGCGACACTAGCAGCGTTCCCTGGTTCAACTTCGAGGAGTTGCTCGCCAAGCCGACCAATCCGACATGTGCACACCCTCCGTGCAACACCATCGCGGAGCACCCGGACCGCGTGACCATGATCGCGCCGGCCGAAGGTGTGTACCTCTTCGGCAAAGTCCTGTTGGGTCACTGCCCAAGGGGGACCAGGTGGTGTGTGTCAACACCTTTAGCAATCGACGTCACACGGGACGTGGGTTGGCCGTCCCTGCTCGGCTCAGTGGTCGAAGCGCAGTTACCCGTCGTGGCCCAGGCCGATGCCGTCGATGAGGGCCATGGCACGTGAGTTGTGGCAGGAGGTGCTGTCTGCCCGTGCGACTCAGGTGGCTCAGCTGCTGTTGGATGTGTTGCAGTAGGACCCATCGCAGCAAGGCCCGGAGCGGTGTCTGGTTGGTGTTGTACACGTTGTTGGGAGAGCGTGAGAAAATGCCGGAGGTGGTCAGACGCCACTGGAAGTTGTTGTGGGTGAGGAATTGGCTCAACTCCGGGAGGAGAGCCGATGAGACCCGGAAGGTGCATCTGGCTGGACGGGGGCGTCGATGTGGGTTGCTGACCGCTCTTGCAGCAGGTGGATGGTGTGGTTGTCGGATTCCATGGTCTGTGGCAGCAGCCGCTGGACCAGTTCGTGGTTGGCCGCCGTGCGCGTCCGTGCAGTGGGTGTGGTGGGCCGCTGTGGCACGGGTGTTGTGGAACGTGGCGGCTGCTGGCGCGGTGTGTGCATCTTGTTGGTGTCATGTGTGGGTTGCTGCGCCGCGGCAGGCGGCCAGTTGCTGGGTCGCGCTGTGTCTCGGGATGATGCCGCCTCACGGTTCGTGGGTGGCAAGACCGGTCGTGCGTAACCCGATTGCATGGAGCGGTCCCTCGTGGCCCAAGGGGTGTGGTCCCGAGTGACTAGGGGTCCGGTTGGTTGGAGGTACTGTGTTTGGTATGTGCATGGAGCCGGGCATCGGACGGCGGAATGGTGCGTGGGTGGATTCCACTCTGGTGTTCGCGAAGGATTTCGTAGGCCTCCTGTCGGGCGAAAAAGCACCACTTGTGGGTGGTGGAGTCGTAGTGGATGCCGGCTCCGGCGTTAGGCTTGGAATGGTGGACAAACCGAAGGTCACCGTGCATAGTAGAATCACTACGCACGTGCAGGCATGTGTCACCGCGATCACAAAATGCATCACGGCGTCGGCCCTGCTGACGGAGGTGGCGGTAGCAAATGTTGTGTCGGGGGGTGAAACGGCCCGATACGAACTCCGGGTGCAAGAAGCCACACGCGAAGTCGGCGGTCGGTGAGAGGCCCCTGCAGCTGGAGTGACGCGCAAAGTGCGTGCAGACCTGGTTGCCCTGGAGGATGGTGCCCACGCCCGCAGCTTCAGGCAGTGCAGCGAGGTGTGCTTGAAGGGCATGGTACAGGTGCTCGTAGTCGGGATCGACTTCGGTCATCTCCAAGAGGTGGTACCGTCGCACGACGTCGCTGAAGCCCGAAGGTGCGGCGGCCATGGCTGGTGGTCCAGGGTGGTCAGGTCAGGAAAAATGAAAAGATCTTTTCGCCAAAATGGCGATCGGTGCATATGCATTTGTCTCATGCATTGCGCAGCACTTGGCATTCCAATTCAAGTGCAAGTTCAAGCCCTTTCGCTTGCAGTTGTCACTTTTAACACAGGTGTTAACCGCAACAAGGGCTTCACTGAAAGTTTCGCGAATTGGCTCAGCCAACAGTGGCTCCGTTGAGTGAAGGGCATGAAATTGGCCTGAGTCGCTGAGTTGCACAGTTGGCTTGTGGAGTTTGTTGCATCCAGTGAGATCAGTTGGCCCGGCTGCCCCAAGTGGGCAAGTGGTCAAATCAGACCAACTGGAGCAAAGTCGCCTGAGCAACAAGCGCTGAACATATGTGACGGGCAACCTCGGAAAATCTCTGCGCCGTCCAGCGTAAAGATTGCGCAGAAAGTTGGGTAGACTGGTTGCATCCGCATGGTTTCTGCCCCGGGCGCGCTCGCACGCGGTCCAGAAAGCAGGACACCATGTTGGTCTGTCTCCAGTTTTGCCTGTTGTTGCAATTTGACTTGTTTGTTCTGCGCTACCTCTTTGCAACGCAAACTGGGGCCATTGCCTTAGGGGTTGCGCAGGTGTTTTCCAACCTTTGTTGAAAGCGCGGGCGACACATTAGTGCTTCACATGGGGTGTTGCCTTTGCCAAGCAGGAAAGTTTTGTCTCTGCGCCTTGCCAGAGCTGGTGTAGAAGAAATGTCTTCAGCAAGCGCAACCAGCAAATGTGGAGACGTACCTCTGTGGGGGCCCGGGCTCGCCTCTTTGCGCTGCTGCCGCCTGGAGAAGTAGCGCTGCGCGCGGTCCGCTGCCGCCCTTACGACGGGAGCTCGCGGCGAAACTCCCCACACATCACCCTTTTCTCGTTGAGACTCACTTTAGGGTTTTCCAAAACGGGACAACTAGTGAAAAGCGCACATGTTTCCGCACGCCCTCGTTTTTTCAGACGTCACAGATGTAACTCCCGCATGCCCGGGCCAGCAACTCGGGCTGCTCCTGTCGAAACATATGCCGGAACCTGTGCAACAGATCTAAAGCAATGATTTGATCTGTTGTCGCCCGTTGTCCCTGAAATCGTGGGACAAGCTCATGGGACCCCCCAAACTGAGGCTACGTCAACGTCTGGCACAGCTTGTCAGGGAGGGGGGGGGTCCACCCACTTCCGGTCTAGCAGGTAAGTGTGACGGTTCCATTCCAACGAGTGCTACAAAAAGGGGAATCTTCTGGTTCCTGTGGACGAAGTCTGTGCTCCGAGTATCTGCCTGCTGTGGTTTCCTCCCCCCCCTTTAATCACCATATTGTCCGGAAACCTTTTTGTGAGGATCTCCTAAAACACTCGAACAACCCAGGAAAAGGAAGAGAGTAGGCTGCCACCCGATTCTTCATGGCCCGCAAACCACAGGGCTTGGCTTTATTTGATCAATGTGCGCCATGCCAAAAAGGAGCGCGATTCACCCAATCGCAAAAACTAGTATCTTCAAGCTTCGTCGTGTGTTTCACTACGGCCCCTGCTCGAGCAACTCTACGCTTTCTTGTTGGCCGAGTTGGAACGCCGCGTGACCAAAGCCCCCCTGCAGGACCCGTCGACTCTCTATGTTTGACCAACAACACAGCACGGTCTTTTTGCTTTGGAGACAACAGCTGTGGCCCACAGGCCCGGGGACATAGTAGGGCGCGCGTGGGAAAACAAGTTGAGCAAGCAATCAGATGAGCAAATGTACCTAAACAAACAAGCAGCGCAACTGTATGGCCAAGCATGTAGCCAACCATATTTGATCACAACAAATTATTGAGTTGCGCCGCTCAAGGCAAGCCAGGAGAATCTAACCTCTCTATGTTAACCAATAACACGGCACGGCCTCAACAGGCCCACAGGCCCGGGGACAACAGCCCCACCATCCCCAACGCAACTGTTGTTCCCAGCCGCGCTCACCTACCCCAAGCTTCGAGCCTACGCAGCGGCTGGGGACAAACCGCAATGCCAAACCAAGGTCGCATCAAATCCCTTACCCGCAGCGGCACTTGATTTGGCGCGCTGAATTTCTGCCGGCGCGCCGCATCTTGCCCCAACTCAGCAGGCTGCGGAAAGTTGAGTCTGCTCAGCGCATCAACTTCCATGTTCTGCTCCTGCTAAGAGCGAAACTTCCACGTCGCAACGAAACCGCAAGCACTCGCTTGTCAGGGCTAGCAACACTGCGCCTAAAGGGTATTTAGCGCGCGAACCCTTCGCAATAGACCCTACCAGCGCCATGTTGTCACACCGCTGAAGCTTGTCTGGACTTGCACCAAAGCCAACTGAGCAAGCGACTCCAAAGAGCTTCTCCCGCGCTGCATTGTCTCGGGCCAACTCCCAGCGCGAGGCATGTCGCTCATGCGCAACTTCAAACGGAACCAGAAAAACTCAGTAAGTCAAGTTTGGGGAACAGACGGTAAGGGAACGGATCGCGAGTGCCACCCCAACAATTAAAGGGCCGGATAACCCCACATGTGTAGCCCGTGATGCGGCGAGCGCGAGTCATTTCTCGTTGCGACACATGTCTGGCAGTCGCAGCGCTACTCTTTTCTCACGAGCGATTTGTGTTGGGTATCTGCAGCCGTCTCGCACTGGGCCGACGGCAGCGACGATAAACAGATGCTGCCGCTGCCACGCGAACACACTCTGAAAATGACTCCGTGTGAGTGACTGTGAGTGAGTGGGCGTGAGCGTGGAGAGTGCGTGAGTCAGTGGGTGAGTGAGTGAGTGAGTCATGGGCAGTTTGCAAGCCATCTCCAAAGCGCTGCACGTGTCACGCAAAACGGGGCCCTTAGCCTCGCGCGCTCGACACCCAGGCAAAGGAAATGCTTCGCCTGCCACAAAATGTGTAAGCAATCTCCAAAGTGCTACGCCTGTCACGCAAAACTGGGCCCCCAGCCGCGCGCTCGACAACATCCAATCCCTTGAGACTGCCACGAAATGCTGCCCCATGCCACACAAACGCACTACCGCGCCTCCAAGCCATCTCAAAAGTGCTGCGCCGGTCACGCAAGCCCGGCCCCCAGCTGCGCGCCCGACAACCTCTAGACAGCTACCAGATGCTGCCCATGCAAAACGAGGCCCCAGCCGGGCGCGCGACAACATCTGGGGATGCGTAGTGATGATTACGATCATCACCCCTGCTTCACGAGCAGTTTGCCCACGATCGTCGTTACGAGCACCATCTCTGCTGCACATGCTAGAAATGCGTGGTGGTGGTTATCTGTGTAGTCGCTGCTGGAGATGCTGCGGATGCGTGTGGTGCGTAGTGATGCTGATGCTTATCATCCATCCTCATGATCTTCGTCATGGCTTGTCTTTTTCAAGTGTTTTCTACATACGGCTTGACATGCAAGCGATGCGTAGTCATGATTATCATCATCGCTGGAGATGCTGGGGATGCGTAGCGATGATTGTCATCAACATGATCATCGTTGCTGGAGATGCTGGGGATGCGTAGTGATGATTGTCATCATCGCTGCTAGGAGTGCGGGGGATGCGTAGTGATGATTATCATTATCACTGCTAAAGATGCTGGGCGAGTCATCATCCCGGCTGGAGATGCTGGGGATGCGTCGTGACGGTTATCATCAAGGCGATCACGAGCATCAGCCGTATTTTGGTCTTCATGACTTGTCTTTCTCAAGTCTTTTGTACATACATTTCAATTTTCCCGTGAGACCCGGCGTGACACGCAAGCGATGCGTAGTCATGATTACCAGCATCGCTGCTGGAGTAGCGATTATCATCATCGCTGCTAGAGATGCTGGGAATATCATCCTGCCTGCTGGCGTGGATTCGTGGTGATGGTCATCGTGAAGGCGATCAGGAGCATCATCCTCACGATCCTTGTCATCACTTTTAAAGTATTTCTACCCACATTTCAAGTGTCCCGATAGACACGGCTTGACAGCAAGCGATGCGTAGTCATGATTATCGCATGGTGATGGTCATCATCAAGGCGATCACGAGCATCATCCTCATGACGCTTGTCATGACTTGTTTTTCACGTCTTTCTTTGTACATGTCAAGCGGCGCGATAGACCCGGCCTGACACGCAAACGATGCGTAGTCATGATTATCAACATCGCTGCTGGGAGATGCTGGGGATGCGCAGTGATGATTGTCATCGTCATGATCATCGCTGCTGCAGATGCTGGGGATGCGTAGTGATGATTAGCATCATCCCTGCTAGAGATGCTGGGCAGACGCGTAGCGATGGCTATGACAAAAAGCGGTCACGAGCATCTTTTTCATGTTTCTCGTCATGACTCGTCCTTTCAAGTCTTGTCTATATACATTTCAACTGGCCCGTTAGACCCGGCTTTGACACGCAAGCGATGCGTAGTCATGATTATCATCATCGCTGCTGGAGATGCTGGGGGTGCGTAGTGGTAAAAATATCATCATCATGATCTTTGCTGCTGGAGAGGCTGGGGGTGCGTCGTCACGGTTATCATCATCGCTGCTGGAGATGCTGGGGATGCGCAGTGATGACTATCATCACCACTGCTAGAGATGCAGGGCATGCCATCATCCCTAGTGGTGGTTATAGTCAAGGCGATCACGAGCATCATGCTCATGATCCTTGTCACGACTCGTGTTTTCAAATCTTTCCCTTATTTACATTTCAAGTGTCCCGTTAGACCTGGCTTGGCACGCAAGCAATGCGTAGTCATGATTATCATCATCGCTGCTGGAGATGCTGGGGATGCGTAGTGATGATTGTCATCATCACGATCATCGCTGCTGGACATGCTGGGAACGCGCAGTGATCATTATCATCATCACTGCCAGAGATGCTTGCTGATGCGTAGTCATGATTATCATCATCCTTGCTTGAGATGCTGGGCATGTCATCGTCGCTGTTGGAGATGCTGGGGATGCGTAGCGGTGGTTATCATCAAAGCGATCGCGAGCATCATCCTCATGATTCTCGGCATGACTGGTCTTTTCAATTTTGTTGAGAAACATTTCAAATGTCCCGTTAGACCCGCCTTGACACGCAAGCGACGCGTCGCTTGGAACCCTTGCTGCTAGGGCTGCTGCGGACGCGTGGTGATGATTATCATCGTCAAAGGCTGCGGCAGCCACAGCCCGAAGGCTGTGGCAGGCACAGCCCGAAGACTGTACCAAAGCCACAGCCCGAAGTCTGTGGCAATTACAGCCCGAAAACTGTACCAACTGTGGCAGCCACAGCCCGAGGCTGTGGCAACAGCCCGAAGACTGCACCAAAGCCACAGCCCGAAGGCTGTGGCAAAGCCATAGCCCGAAGGCGGTGGCAGCCACAGACAGAAGGCTGTGGCAGGTACAGCCCGAAGACTGTACCACAGCCACAGACCGAGCCTGAAGGCTGTGGCAGGTGTAGCCCGAACACTGCACCAACTCCACAGCTCGAAGACTGTACCGAAGCCACAGCCCAAGGGCAGTGGCAGGTAGAGCCCGAAGATTGTACAGAAACCACATTCCGAAGGTGTGGCAGCCACAGCCCGAATGCTGTGGCAAGGCCACAGCCCCAAAACTGTACCAAAGCCACAGCCCGAAGGCTGTGGCTTTAGTCTTCGGGCTGTGCTTCGGGCTGCGGATGCCACAGCCTTCGGGCTGTGGCTTTGTTACAGGCTTCGGGCTGTTGTCACAGCCTGTTTGGTACAGTCTTCGGGCTGTGCCTGCCACAGCCTGTGGCCTGCGGGCTGCGCCTGCCACAGCCTTCGGGCTGTGGCTTTGGTACAGTCTTCGGGCTGTACCTGCCACAGCCTTCGGGCTGTGGCTTTGGTACAGTCTTCAGGCTGCATCTGCCACAGCCTTCGGGCTGTGGCTGCACCTGCCACAGCCTTCGGGCTGTGGCTGCCACAACCGTCGGGCTGTGGCTTTGCAGAAGACTGCACCAAAGCCACAGCCGAAGGGGCAGTCGCAGCGTGTGCAGCCCAAAGCCACAGCCCGAAGGCCGCGAAGCTACAGCCCGAAGACTGTGCCACAGCCACAGCCCCAAGGCTGTGGCCGGTACACGAAGGCTGTGGCAGCCACAGCCCGAAGGCTGTGGCAGGTGCAGCCCGAAGACTGTACCAAAGCCACAGCTGGAAACATTTACACATACATACACACATGCATGCATACATAAATACATACTTACATATATACACACACATACATACATACCTACATACATACTTCCTTACTTACGCACATTGCATACATTACATACATTACATGCATCACATACATTACATACATTACACACACATTACATTACATTACATTTCATTGCCTTACATTACCTTACCTTACCTTACATTACCTTACATACATGCATGCATGCATGCATGCATACGTACATACATACAAACATACATGCCTACATGCATTACATACACACATAAATACATACATACATACACACATAAATACATACGTGCGTACATACATGCATTACATGCGTTACATACATACATACATACATACATGCATGCATACATACATACATACATGGACCGACTCAACACTGGCCTCTTGCAGCGCCATGGTTCCACCAACCCCAAACAGCGCACATTGCCTGTGTGCCAAAGCTCCTGACGAATTTGATAGAGAGGGACGATGCGATGGCGCCGGATCGTTTTCAACAAAGTGTCTGACTCTTCCTAGCCTCAATGATGTGCTGAGAAATCCGAGGGCTAGCCGCAGTCTAATTGCACAAGAAGTTGTTCCCGAAGGTTCAGACCTGCGCAACCGGGCTTGCAACTGGGGTCGGCGGGACTGGGCGGCAGCCCTGACATCCGGCTACGCCTCCTGGATTAGCATGTCGCTGCCAGGCAATTTGCCTGCTAGCTTCAGCTATAGGGGCTGCACCCGTGCGCCGCCGACCCTCCGGCACCTCTGACAATGTGTGTGTGTGTGAGAGTGAGAGAGTGAGAGAGTGAGTCACCACTTTGGCAGCGTGCCACATTTGATTGCCAGTGAGAATGAATTTCGGCCTGTGTTTGGCTGACTGAAGCTTCGGCCCTGGCTGCCCAAACAAGGCAAAGTGACGTACACTACAGGTGGCGCACTCAGCCTGGTGCAAATTCAGCAATGGTCGTGCTGCGCTGCATTAGTAGCTGAGTCTGCCCTGACTCATCCATTGGCTGGCCAAGCTCTTCTCCGTGCAGTCGAACCCTAACTTGCCGTCATTGACAACAGCAATCAATGAGGATCGTCACAAGGATCGTCTCTCTGCCAGCTTGCGAGACTCGAGCTCACACGACCTTCTATCAAGTGAAGCGCGGCCCATACTACTTTGCATCCTTCCCCAAATCTAGAATGGCCTGAAATTTGGGCCTGCGCTGCCCTCTCAATTCAATGAAGGACCCAGGCCAAGTGTCTCAGCTTCAGCCATGGAAGCGGCAGTCGGAGACTTCTAAATCCTTTGCCATGGCTGAAGCCAAATCACTGGACCTATTTCCCCTTAAATGGCCTTCTGCAGGAGCTTTCCTTCCATCGGAATCAGCACTCAACACTCACCCATTCTCGTGCTCCCGGGGCGTGATGGCTTGTAGAAAAATAACGCACATATTCGCTGCGACAAATGTGCACTGCGCGTGTTGATCTGTTTGTGCATGCCACGCATGATGTTGATCTGTCTGGGGTACTAATGTGTTCGGCCTTGATCGGACATGCATGTGTTGAAGCATGGTCATATGCACACACACACACACACAGCTAAGCTAATCGACGCTCAATGAACCATGTCTTCTGAGAGGTGTTGGATAGGGCCATTGGGCCTGCTCCGTCCGGGCACCGCCTGTCTGGAAAAGGAGGCGTTAACTTAAGTTATGTCGTTCACATGTCCGCACGTGCTCTTTGAGAATTTGTGATATGAAACCAACATAAACAATTGCTGCTGCGTGAAGCTGCTTCGAATCACTTGTCATTGTCAGTAAGGATCGAACAATAGTTTTGGTACCGTTTTCAAGCCTTCCAGATCATCTTAGACCACGGCCTTTCACAACCTTTTTTCAGGTTTGTTTCAGTTTGGTTGGCATGAAATGACTCAGGCTGATTGAAAGGACATGTTTATGGCAAGCCTCATTTTCCGACTTGGGCCCAATCAGTGGTTGACACTAGTCTGGCTGAGGAGCCTCTAACACTGTACATGTTGACAGTGAGACAGCGAGCTCAGCAGTGATTGGCACTGAGCCTTCCTTCATCATTACTGCCTAGTCATTGCATCATGACATCTTTGGCAGGCCTCATTTTTCCGACAGGGGTCATTCAGTGGCTTCCGGCTGAGTCAGCCTGTGCACGTCGACAGTGAGACAGCCCGCAGCGATTGTCACTGAGCCAGGAAATTTCTCACTGCATCTTTTGTTACACCATCAACCCTGCACTGCATGTCGCACGGCAACCTTGTTGAGCCACGCTAAACTCCCATTGAAAAACCCCGCGCGCACGCTTTCAATCGGCCCCCCGCAGGAATATCCAAACAGCCGGCGGGCGGCCCAATGTCATTCAAGGCAGGTCTCAGAACAAGGCGGCCCCAGCCCTGCCCGTCTCCAAAGATTGCTAATCGGAATAGGACCACAGTTTTCGTGTCCAATGGAACCTTCAGCACCTGCTGCGCCGGCCCAGTCAGTGAGAGCAAGTGTCGGTCCAATATCATTGCAATCAAATCTCAGTTCAACACATGTTCCAAAAAGGAGCTTAGATGTGACAAGGCTCGCAGGCAGCGTCGAATCCAGTGACTCCTGGTAACAGCTTTTTCGGTGGCAGCTTGTTCAGCATCCTGTCAAATTTGGAAAGTGCCACCACGGTCGCCGTGGCCCGCTCGCAGTTGCACCAGTGAAGCCCAATCTGGCTCCCTGGCATCATGATGAGCTCTGCGCCGAATCGTTCAAGGCGCTAATGCAGGGGTGATGAAATGGCGTTCGGCCCACAAGTAGTACAACACATGATATTTGCACTGACGCTGGTATTTTTTACAAATCACCTGTCATTTCAAGCTTTCCAGATCTTCAAAAACCACTACACAACTTTCAAGGATTCATTTCAACTCGGTTGGCGTGACATGACTCAGGCTGATTGCAAGGGCCTCATTTTTGTGACCTGGGCCGACACTAACCCAGCTCTCAAAGACGGTCTGCAATGCACAACACTGACAATGGCAACGCAAGTCAGCACTAATACCACATGCGCATCACACTCAACAAAAACTCGTCAACCGACCCGGTGCACCACAGCAAAGTCTTGACAGCAGCGAGCAGTGATGGGCACTAAGCCCGAATTTAATTATGGTCAGAACCTCATGCCAACAAGGTCGGCTGGTTGGTGAGCGGCATCTTAGCACCCATGATCGTCCTCGCGGCGCTGGGCTGTCCTTCTCAATCCCGGACACGGACGAACTGCCGCCTGGACCAGGGTCCAGTTTCATCTGGCCCGCAATGCCAAAGCAGATCCACGCCGCAGCTGCGGCTCCGCGCAGCACAGCTGCTCCCGATGCCCTTCAGCACAAGCGGCCCGCGGCAGGGGCTTCCACAACACCATAACAAGTCACAAAACAAAAGAAAACACAAGTTGCGCAAGCAGTCAAATGACACTGCTGCACATGCACCTAAAGATACAAGCAGCGCAACTGTATGGCCAAGCATGTAGCCAAACATAATTGAACAAAACAAATTAAATTACCATAGAGAGTGTGATGCTCAAGGCAAGCCATGAGAATCTAACACGTCTCCAACCGACTCTTTGTGGACACAAAACCCTAACCTGTCTGCCAAGTTGCTGTGCAAGCCACGCTCTGGAATTCTCTTCCTCCTCCTTCCGTCTGCGCATCTCCTAGAGACTCCATCTGATTTTGGCTTCCTCCCAGCGAATTGTAACCAGTGGCCCGAGAAACTGGGAACCATAAAGGCCCTGTCAAAAACTGCTTGTTCAATCGTGATGTTCACGTTTAGCTGCCAGTCACATGTAATTGTTTCTACCAAAATACAACTGCAGTAGGTGACAATGCAGGTACTCATTCCGCTTCCTAATGGCCTCGGAGCCTCGGAAAAGCTCTCACCGACGCTTGCCGTAGTAAGCCTTTTGCCCTCCTTGTGAACTATCCAAAATGCCTTCAATGTTATTGACAGTTGATACGTTGATTGATGCCTATCCCACCCAAAACCACACAACCTGGAAAAACCGCCGGCTAGGCCGGAGTGTCTTGTGTGGATGTTCTTGTAGGTGGTCTTGGTTTGTGCTGTTCCAAAACTGTTCCTTGGCACGGGCTGTTGCCTCGACCTTCACACAATGTACAATTTTAGCGCAAGGCCCTCCTTGCAATCAAAGCCAGCGCATTTCTGGAACAGGGGGATCAATACAATAACCCATAGTCGCACCAAATCTGAGATACATTGGGCCTGACATGAGATAGATCCACGAGCTATTTGAGTTTCCTACCACAGCAAGATAGATCCCCTGCTGCCGGACTCAATTGGAAAACCCCCCGCCCAAGATGTCATCAGATGGAGAAGGCCTACACCAGCGCAGGCCGAACTATCGGCGGCACTGAGGAGACACCCGTGTAAAGATGACCTCCAAACAGCCGCCAGCGTACGACGAAAAAGTCAGCTGGTTGATGATTGGATCTTATTCCCAACAGTGGAGGCAGAGAGAAGAGGACCTCTCCTCAAAGGCGCACAGGAGATGCTAACATGCTCGACAATTCTCTGCTCCAACATCCAGACGAAGGAGTCAACTACGCTCAAGAAGTACTTCCTGAGGCGTACATCCAATGTGTACCTTTGCAGGCTTGTCAGCTTCTTCAATCGTACACGTCGCAACACGCAGTTCTCATTTTCACATCACGGGATCGTGCTCAGGAGACTGAAGTCAGCTTGGAACGGTTTGATGTCCGTCGTCGCAACACAATCGCCCGATTTCCTCGCATCAGGGCAAGATGCAAACAATCGAAGAATCGCTCAGCAACAGCAAGCAGCTGCTGCCAAAGCGCCGCCGGCGCAGCGCAGGGGCCCTGGATGGTCCGGAGGTTCTGAGACAGTATGTAACAGGCATGCAGACAAGACACCAAGTCGCTTTCCCGCACAATTACAGTCTCACTGCACAATTGTTTACCATTCAGGAATCCAGAGTGAATTGTCAGGACGAGATGAACACAGACAGTATCACGATCTTCCCGTCACAACAAGAACATCCATTCAAGATCCTCCACAAGGCAACCGCAAACAACACCTTCTACATCCTCGATGAAGGCGCACAAAGGAAAAGAATTTTTGTGGGTTGAAGATGATGACGGACGTGGAGGATTCATCGCAGCAGAAGGTGAGAAGACATTCTTGGTCCTCGAGGACAAGGACATGTTCATTGCCAGAAAGATGCCAAGGCGGAATCTGGGATTTGGGAAAAGAAAAGGCAAAGGAGAACCAAGAAGCAAATCAAGCCTTTCAGAAAGAGCACGGCCGACGGAAGGGTGCGTGTGGCCAACGAAGACAGGGATTCCTACGACCAGGCATACTAGGGAAAGGAGGGAAAGGACAATCGAAATTCCATATCCTTTCGATGGTCCGTCCTACGACAATGGAACAGGAAAAGGCGGCAAGGGCGTTGCAGAGACACCAGGCTTCTCACCTCTCAAACGAGTGACAAAGATTAAGATATGTCATGGACTTGGAGTGAACCAGGCTGGCACGTCCCATGAGACACCAGGCGAAAACGATAGTGCCACGATTGCAAGTCATGATGCGTTCCAACATCAGGACACCGACGCCGCCCCAAAGAAGCTGGCCCGAGCCGATACAGTTTCGCTATGGGTCTACGGGCAGCTGGCATGCAATGCAACCCGCGATTTACACAGGCCACCGAACCAATGAAGAACTTCCTATGAGTACATTCTGGCCAGGACCAATTCACTTTGCCAAGTGAAAGTCAGTTGGACCTTGCCACACGACTTCTCCAGCCAGCACGAACATCGACGTCCTTAGTGTTCGTCAAAATGAGGAACTTATACGTGACCATTGAGCACACTCCTCAATGCGACAGGATCACCTGTGAAGCTTTTGGCGTGCGCCGTCAAGCAATTCCAGCATCAGGTGCAGGACATGCTCTAGTCGATCTGGCAGGTTGCAAAACTGAAGTATCAGCAGAATCCAGTTTCCTTGATCGGAACCATCCAAGTCGGAACTTGTTTGCGCACCAAGTCATCCGAGTCCAAAGAGGACACGGCAATTTTCAAGATCATTGGATCACAAAGGCATGATCGCTGGATTCGTGGCAAGAAGAACAAGCAGCTCACTCATGTTCACTTCGCACCTCGAAAGCCGTTGTTTACACCATCAAGAGCTATCCTGATCATATCAGCCGCGAACGTGTCACTCAGATAACTGATGCGACAGCAGGACCTCTTCAGGTGAAGGACAAGGACAAATCCAAGATTCGTTCCGATGGAAGCAAAAGAGGCATGTGGCTAGATGGAAGCAAAAGAAGGAATAGTCGCCTCATCAAGGTCAACATGACTAAGGTTCGGAAGGATGAGACCATTCCCCATGGCAAACCAGAAACGAACCTTTGTTGCCTGATGAAACGGAAGGAAGCCTTACAGGAAAGAACAAGAAGGCTCATCATCAGATTCCAAGCAGCATGAATCATCAAGCCGGCTCCTCCTGATCCAGCAGCCTCCCGGCCCTTACATACCGACGGGAAGACCTCCCCAAAGTCAGCAGCCACGAAACCGGCAGAGAACATGTCTGTGGAAGACCTTTTTTTCATTCCTGAACAAGCAGATTGGAGCTGAGTCAGGAAAGGACAAACGCATGTTTTCAAGATCTTTGCGGGTGCAAGATTCAGCCAGCGTTGCGCGCTTACAAGACTAAAGGTCGGAACCCCTGTCGACTTCAGAACAGGTTTCGGTGTGATGACATCTGAGGGACGACACATGGTCATGGAGATTATAGAGGAGCAGGCACCCACACGCAGACCAGACAGACCAATCAGTTCTGCGCTATGGACCGCAGGATCCTGAATCCGGACTGAGAAGCCTGATTGAAGCCAGCAAGCTTGCTTCACAGCCTGCCTCCTGAGATGTTGAAGCCAATCTTCAAAAAATGCGAGAATTTCACAACCCCGGTGAAACATGAACATCAACTAGGTTTTTTTAGTAGGGAGGTTAGCATAAGGGTACCCTTTTTTCTGTAGTCTATTTTAGTAGGGGAACCAGTTCTGCCAGGGTCTTGCGCGCATCCTCGTGCGTCACCTACAGGTGAAGCCGCTCCACAATGAGGCGTACGTCTTGGGGGTCATCTCTGACCCGCTGTGCAACGAGATGGATGCCATTGACAGGGAGTTCAATGTGACAGTCTCCCGTTCAACAGGAATGTTCAACCATTAGTTCTTCAGCAAAATCCCAACGGTGTGCGTTGGCATCACACGTGGAACGGACGCAAGAGGTTGAGAACCTTGTGTGTTCCGTCCACTCAATACGGAAGATGCACAACATACACCCACGCCCACGCCATTGGCGCTAACCTTCTGTCAGGCATGCCCGCGTGCAAGTGCGGCTGGAACGCCTTCGATCCAGGACATGGCACGCAAACATGCACTCATCCGTTCTGAGTTCGTTTTTCAGAGGCACCGTGATGAAGCCAATGCCCATCACGACGGATCCACCACATCCGCCGGATGCGTCCAGTCAACCTGATGATCAGCATCCTCCGCGGCTTCTGAGACAGGCAGAACCAGTCCTGCTGCGTCCAGGAGTGGCATTCGTCTAGCAACCCAAGCAGCCGCGAACAGAGGCTGAGACATCCAACCTCTCTGGCTTAGAAGGAGCAGTAGAACCTTATGGGCCCTGTCTCTGGAAACATTCACAGAATCATCTAGGTCACGGAGCTCTTTCACATAATGCTGATAATCTTCTCATCATGGTTGATGACGCTGTCTTTGAAAAGGAAACCATGGGACGACTTCGAAACGATTGCCAGTTGGCTCACAAGATCAGAACGATTGTCCTCCCTTGTGTTCTCCAACGCATCCAGTGGAAGCAAGACAACAAGCGTGGTTGGTACATCAATGTCCGCCAGAATGTTGCCATTTGACGAACTTCAGGAGATCAGCTTTGACAAGAACCTGAAAATGACACTCCTTTGACACCGCAGATGCAAACCTTTTCCAGACATGTTTTAGGTCACATCAGTTGGTTACAGTAGCGAACTCAATTGCACATTGGTTACCAGTTTTCGCGGTTGCGCATGCAAAGCAGCATTCCCAGCCATTGCGGACGTTCGCGCTAGAAATGCGCCTGTCAAAACTCCACTCAGTGTCGGATTTTGGCCGCTTTGCGGGAAAACAAAAATCACTCGTTACTCTGGTGCTTCTTATCGCAACAATGAGGACAAGTCACCACAACGAGCACATTCTTCTTGCTGAAGAACGAGATCTCCGCAAAGGCTCGTCGAACGAGGAGCTCTCGTGAGCCCCGCAAAATCACCGCAACGACGGTGTCCACAACTGTTGGTTCGGCTCATCACTTTTTCTTCGTGGCCTCTGGTCAAACATCACAGGTGAAATCGCGGAAGTACACATTCCAACCGACAGAAGGAAACAATGCGCTTGATCCAGGTGTTGCGGAAGGAAAGCAATAGCGGACAGATGCATGACCTAGCACATGTACGAAGAAAAAGGTTGCCTCGCAGGTTCCTTGACAGAGCATTCAGACAAAGCAGACGAGTTGATCAAGGCAGTTCTGACCGGCAACCTCTTGAATGTTGATGCGCGTGCACCATTCCGTACCCTGTTGGAGAAGAAGGCATTTCTTGTTGAATGGCTTGCGCGCAATACAGCGCACGGGTGCGACATCATCGCTTTCGCAGGTGTCAGAACTTTGGAAGACAGTCTTGCTTGCTTTACATTGCATGAAGCCATGTTCCGCAGTTGTGTTTTCCAGCAGTGCTGACCATTGTGCTTGACCATGCGTGAAACTCAAGAAACTTGTGTCTGCATCCGCAGTTGAATCTTCAAGCTACCCAGTCTTTTGCGACTGTAAAAAGGCGATTGCATATCCGATACGCCGCTCATCAGCACGCTCACTCGGAGCCAGTAGGCACCGCCCAAGAGGCGAGCATCTCCTCTCAGGCACTCCCCTGAACCAGAGGGTGACCAAGACTTCCCAACGGAAGCCGAGATCTTCGATGACAAACCCGGGCCATCCCCATGGAAGTCGACAAGCCTGACTGGGGCGGACAACGCTCACGGTGAATCTTGCATCGCAAACAAAAAACTCCAAGTTGCAGGGAAGAGAAGGCAAGGACATCCCCGCAAATAACAACCAATGGTGAGGACTATGATCCACAGACTATGATCCACAACAGTGCTCATATCCTGTGTACTAACGAAGCCGATGCATTCGTCTTTGGTGATCCGGCTGGCCACAAAAAGACAAAGGACCTTTTCAGAACCTTCATCCGTGCAGGATACAAAGGCATAGTCCTGAGAGCCTGGAGCGCAAGCCGATCGCATGCTTTGTCCGTGGCACCGTGCGTCCAGAGTTGAGCTATTGGCACGACACACATCCGAGAGATCCAAATACTGGGGCACAACATTCCAAGTGTTCAGATGCTTTTTCGGCACAGACGACAGCGTGGACGACCAGGAATATGCAACACCCGCACAGGCTTGCCGAGCTGGATTGCCATTTGCAATCGTTGGAGTACTCCGTGTCCACCCATCCTGAGCTATGGAGCTGTCATGAAAGACTTGCGGAAACATGTGCTTCCGTTCGTCATGGGATATCGGTGCGATGCAATCACTGGAGGCCCCCCTTCCAGCAAGTTTCAGCAGGTGTTCCGACCGGACCACGGACTCATGGAACGAATTCGAGCCTGTGGAACCCACCGATCGTTTAGACTTCATCATGGCAAACATTCAGAACATCGTCCGACGTGTCCTTCATACCAAGCAAGGATCGGATCTTGACAGGACCTTTCCTGATTGCATGGTGCGGTTCGCGTTCGGCTGGGGAAAGATGAAGGAGCAGCAAGACAACTGCACGGCAGAATCGTGCAGCAGGTCTGAGGAAGACAAAAATCAATTCGAAAATGACTGTGGCTTCGTCATTGCCGAAAACAAGGTGTCCTGTGCAGAGCGCTTCTCGCGTGTCACCAATGAGATGCTCATGAACGGGGAGCGCCGCACTGGCACCACCCTGGATGGTTTGCATCTGCAACTTTTCCAAAGCCAAGAAGAGGAGGGTTCGGCAGAATTCCCAAAAAAAAGAATTACGACCGCGGCGGAGGTAAGGCCTACGACCAGTCCTGGTGCGACTACACGGCGCCCGGAAGCAGCCAGTGGCAGTACAGCTGTGCCAACATTTGTAGATACGTGACGAACCAAAAAGTCCGCGTCACAAAAGAGCAGTGACTATTTCTGGCACGATTCGAAAATTTGGCTACGGCGCAAAAACTCAATGTTGAAGGTCAAAACACACTGGTGTCTGTTTTGTGTTTGCTTTTGACACTATTGACCTTAATACAATCTACAATTTTCGCTCAAGGCTCTTTCCTCTTTGTGCAGTAAAAAGACCTTGAGGCGATCAATGCAATAACCAAGGACATCCATAGTCTCACCAATCCATCTGGGCACATTGGGTCTGCCTGAAGATGATCCACAGCCAATTTGTGAGTTTCCTGCAGCAGCGAGATCCGCTGCTGCTGGACCACACCCCGCCAGGTTTGGGACTCAACTGCGTTTCGCAAGATCCAAATCCAAATCCAGATGTCATCCGATCACGGAGGCCTATTCCAGCGCAGGCCTGTCAGTCGGCATCACTGCAGAAACCCTCAATTTATCGATGACGGCAAAACAGCCGGCATCGTACGACGGACAAGCCAGCTGGCTCAGATATGAGGAGCTTGTGGTGGACGACATTCACCGCGATCGAAGCATCACAGAACAAACGAAGGAGAAGAAGGCTTTTTTTGGTTTGAGGACGAAAACGGACATGAAGGGCTTCTGGCAGCGGAAGATGAAGAGACATTCTGGCTCCCTGGGGGCATTGCCAGAAAAGTGTCTGGGCGGAAATTTGGCAGAAGAACAGGCAAAGGAAATCCAGAGTCATCCGGCGGACAGGCCAGTATGGCCAACGAGAACTATGGTCCCCACGACCAGGCATTTGGGGAAACGGCGAAGCAAGAAACGAACAACAGGAAAATCGAAATGCCAGTATCCTTTCGATGGAGACAAAGGTTCTCCACCCTATTGCAATGGCAAAGGAAAAGGCAGACAGGATCAAAGCAAATCCAAACGTTGGCATCCTGCCACGCAGCACCTGCCGGTTGGAGTGACCAAGGTTAGGATCGATCATGGACTTGGAGTGAAGCAGGCTGGTATTCATGCCGCGAGATATGCAGCGCAGGACACACGATGATGGCAACCCAAGATGCATTTCAGCAGCATGGGAACGAAGCCATCTGTGAGAAGCGGACCCAAATCCGACACAGTTTCTGCACACAACTTGTCAATCACCACCAATCATGTGGCAACCAAGCTGATGGCACCACAGAACAATCCAACCTATGCAGCCCTGGACAACGGATGTACCAAGTCTATGGGCAGCTGCCCCGCAATCCAGCCTTTTACTCATGCCACCAGGCCCGTGAAGGACCTAATCTCTTGCGAGCACATTCCGGTCGAGACCACATTCACTTTGCCAGCAGATTCACATCTGGTTTGTTTGCCTGAAATGTAAGTCTCCAATTGTCTTCAAGGATGTCTGGTTCTCCATCTCCGGGCGCATCAATTATCTGAGTGGTACGTTCTCGGCTAGGGACATTCCTTAGCTCCTGGTGGCGTGAGCAATTCTTGTCGTTGCGTGACGTGAACGCGAGCGAGGTTCTTCTTGTCAATTCTCCAGCGATCCCGGTTGTCTTCGGGGTTGTTGTGTCCTCTTTCGTCTCGGATGACTTGGCTGCGCAAGCGATTCATTCTTGGATCGTTCTGGAAGGGGGAACTTGATGCTGTCATCGTCATCATAGACATAGTTTTTGAGGTCGGGCGTGGCCGAAATCTGCGCTAAGCGCATTTTTTGCACAGCGCAGAAACATGCAAGAACAACTACAAGAAACGCACGCGGAACAAGTACAAGAAACGCACGTGTCTGCTTGATGCTGCGAGTGTCGCGCGCACAAGCAGACGCTTACATCTTCGCGAAGCAACATGATTCAAAACAGCGCAAAAGCATGCAAGAACAGCTACAGGAAACGCACGCGATTGCTTCTTTCAATGTCACGCGCGCAAGTAAGCGCCTACGAAAAGGCCCCACCTGACACTACACGCCAACAGCGGTTAAGCAATCACTTGGAGTGGGCGTGGTGCGAAAGCGGTCCTTTCTTTGGCGGGAAGCTGCCGCTGCTAGCTGCTCCTGAGGCCGAACGAATCCTTCCCGGTCCACATTGATCAACACCCTTCCATTGCGGGCCGTATTCATTGGCATTGCGGGCAGGAAGTTTCCAAACACCGTCGTTCTAGAAACTCGCAGGATTCTACGCGGAAAGGGTTGCGCTCCTAAGAATGCACAGGAGGCGCAACTTTCGTCCTGGAATGTTGAGGGGTGTTCCAACTGCTACCCTTGCATCAACCTTCTATATATACAGGCTTAAGCTTACGAGCGCGTATATCCACTCCCTCTTCTCTCCGTTGTGCGCCCAAGCCCCTGAACAAGCTTCCGTTGGCATACGCTGACAGGATCTTGTAATGTGACTCTGCACCTCGGGCAAGAGGCTCTCTCCACCCACCATGGAATGTATGCACACGAGGCTCCAGCTCTGTCAATTGAAAGCCCCCCTTGCGAGTTGTTGGGAAACCTCCAGGAACTTTTTCCATTCCGCGATCGCTTGGGTATCCTCCGCAATATGATTTCAAAAAAAACCCCACGTGTCGAACAAAAGACAACACTGTTCCCGTTGTTGATTCAAATGCAAATTGCAAAACCTGCTTGGGCCGCTTGGGCCCTACCTCCATCAGCGCTTTCCGATTGCCCTCAAAGTGCTGTTCCCACCTGGCAGGGAAAAAGGCACAAAAGGTTTGGGCGATGGGCTAGGTGCTTGCGAAGAACCACACACCGGATCTACGAGTTTGCTAAAAAACGCGAGGTAACAAACACGCACACGCTCATGAGCCAGAAGTGGTGGAGCAGTTGTGACAAGCTAAATCTCTTTGCGTCCGCCCCGCTGTTTTTGCACACAGTAAGCGTCCATCCACATGGGCCGAGACTGGATTGCGGGGTTAGCTCTCAGCATTTCGAAGCTTAGGGTGTGGCTTCAAGTTCAATCAAATGTGGCAAGGATAGTCAGCTTGCGCTAAACAACTCTAGCAAGAGCTATCAGTTTGTCTTGCGCTCACTAGCCTAGGACTTCAAGAAAAGGTTGCTTAGGGCTTCTTGCTGAGCTCTTGGACCCACCCCCTCAGGCATCCAGAAAAGGACTTTGCCTGCTCGTATTGTTTTGTTGTTAGAATCACGTTGAACGGGCTGCGTTCGCATGCTCTCGGCCAGAGACATCATTCTAACGCTTTGGGCACGCTGCCAAGGATCTCGGAAGGGCCAAGCAACATGAGCAGCGCTACAGCCCGTTGGCTTTTGGCTCTACTGTTCTCGAAGCTTGTAGTATGAGAGCCCCGGGATAAACTGGTCACACCGACGCGAGCCGCCTGGCACGAATCAAGCCTCCTGTTTTCACAATTCACTGCTGGCCAACGAATTCAGCACATGGTATCAAACAACTGATCAAATAGAACTTCAATTTGCTAATTCGTTTTAAATACGTTTGTGCCGCGGCAGCAAAAAAGGTCAACATGAATCAGTACAGGTTCATCCTGTTCAATAAAGGTTCAAGTGTCGGCTGTGACAACATCAGTCACAAAAGGTGTGGATTGCGCTCATGTGTAAAGACTCCGAGAACCCAATAATGTCTAAAGACATGAGCGCTGCGCGAATCAACCAGGCACCTGGCAGAACCAAACTGCCCACAACAAACATGGACACAGGAGTTTAATAGTTACTCATAGCTTACTCTTGCAAGCATGGCGAAACTTGGCTTTGAAGCACCTCATGTCCTAGGCCGATATGATATAAAACAACCATGCACTGCCGACAGTCCCAAGGAGTGGGGTTTTCAGGTGAGCGTCCTCAATTACAAGTGGCAAACTCGGTGAGGGGCGGGCCGCATTGGCCCCATGGTCGGCCAAACAATGAAACCCCAACGGCGTGAAACCGTGCTTTCGTTTGCTGTGGCACTGCGGTACGCAACCAAGGGTTACCTGCTAGATATGATTCCGAAACGCATCTCAGATGAGGGTCAATCATCGAGAATCTCAGGTCAAACCTATAAAGCACGGAATAGCTCGGAAAGAAATATTCTACGCTTTCACTCCGGGATCCTATTCCGGATGAAGTTGGATGCGGCCCCTGAACTCGGAACCGGATGGCCAATAGGCTGTTGCACTGCGAGGACACGAGCCCTTGCGCACTCGTGGGTCTTCGTCGCCAACGACGGGATGGAACGCCTTTCCTCCGAACCGCGGTCGTCTGCAATGGACACGGCAAATTGATCATTCAGCCGCGCCCAACCCCAAATCTCAGGTCAACATGACGGTCCCGCTTTTGCCCCCGCCTAGCAAGGCAGCACTGAATGTAAGTTCTAAAAGGGATGTCCAATCTTCGGCCCTGTTTCTGGAACTTGACGTGATACGAGGACCAAGGCTCATTGGTCGTGGAGGGATCGAAGCATGGCCAATGAACTGTGGCCAAACCTCGTTTTATGGGGAGATGCTGCAGCTGTGAGTCAGGCCGTGTAGGAGCATGACACGCGAATGCCCTCGCACATGAAAATGGAACGTGGGAAGAACCACTCCCAGCGCAGAACCGCAGGACATCTCAGAAGAGCCATGGCCACGAGAATGAAACTGAGCATATTGAACAAACGCGTGAGCCACATCCAACACGCATGCCCCTGACATTGCAACTTGGTGTGCGGAAAAAACTAAAAATCTCTTGGACGTGCGGCGAATGCGCCCCGTGTTGCCCCATGCACCACTGTATATAGATGTTTCCGAATTTGACTGTTGCCACGTTTTGCGTACACAAGGCATAGTACAAATACCAACACATTGCTCATTGGAGCCGCACTCAGACATCGGACAGGTATGTTTCACTCAACATCGGAAAGGTATGTTTCGCTCTACAGAAACCACTGCAACGGCGCGGCCGGAGTAAACAACTCGTAGCATATCCAAACAAAAAACACACACGAGCGACACGCACAACGTACACCAAGCCGTATAACATGTGGAAAAGAAATACCAAGCCCATACGCAGACGCACATGCAACTACTACTGCGCAAAATGCGTACGAAGCCACCCAGGACAAAGCAAACCTACCCAAACCAAGTTCGGCAAAAGAAACAAGTAAGCATCCACGCAAACACGAAAGCAAGCAAGCACACAAACAAACAAACAAACAGACAAACAAACTAGCTAACTAACTAACTAACTAACTAACTAACACCCACCCACCCAACGAACTCACCCAACCAAACAGCCAGTTAGCCAGCCAGCCATCCAGGCAACCAAGGCGCAAACAAACAACCGAAGCACACTCCCCTCTCCTCCCTCTCCTTCCCTTCGCCCCCTCCCCTCCTCCCCCCATTTGCGCCGCGGCTCAAGCTCCGCCACTTCAAGCTTCCGCTGCCTTTCCAAGTCTGCCTGGCTCGCGATGATCAACATGGCCGACCATTGCACAATGGTGTTGGGCAATCGCATGAATCGACATGCCCGTGGGTCATGTTAGAAGGGCGGATATCCACATCTAGGGCTGTGTAATTGCGGAAAATTTGGGGGCATCCCGAGAACCCGGTAAAGTCACTTGCTTCATCTTGCTTCACACGCGTGTGCGGATGTGGGGCCAAAGGTTCAAGCAACTCATGCGGGACGGCTGCCCCTGAACATGATTTGGAAGTCCAATACTTCTGCGGAAAGCCGCGGCGCAGCTTTCAGATATCGGGTGGGTAAACCCACCGGCAGGTCAGCAAGCTTTCATACTCCAAATCCCGCAGTCCATCAACGGCTGCTTGACACTATGCATGCCAATTGTCCGCTTGGCTGCAAGCCCGCCACATACCATGTCACTCGCCTGGGATTGTGAAAAATCACGAGGTTTCGGGGCGCAGAAATTTCAGCGGAACCCAACCCAATCTGGAAGATTCCCTACCGACACACAAAACCACCCGAGCGGCTGCTGCATAATCACGCATAACCCCGTTTATCCCCTCCGCTTCCTCCCTTTCTCTCTCCCTCTCTGTCTTTCTCTCTTTCTTTCTTTTTTTCTCTCTCTCTCTCTCTCCTTATCTGCCAGCACCGAATTCAGTTGAATTGTCTGCTCTGCGTGGCGAGCTTGAGGGCAGAATTTGCAGACGGGCCGAACTCAGAGGCAAGCTGAGCTGAAGCAAACAGCTGCAGTCGCAGCCCTTTTGGGTCAAAATGATTAAGCTAATTCAGCGCATAGGTGCCAGATGGCAACAAAAAGAGGCCGAAAGCCTTTCAGGCGTTCACATAAACACGGATGCGCATATAGATTGGTTCGGTGTCAGGTTTTGTCCCATCTCGCAGGCGGAAAGTCGGTTCCGTGGTAGCCTGGTGGCACAGAGCAGCAAAGCCCAGTGTTTTACGTGGTTGACTAAAAGTCAGCCAAGAGCAGTCGCTCTGAACCAGCCGTTTGCAGAGGAGAAGAGGCAGCCTGGCCCAGGCACCTTCCTGGGCCTTACGCACGACCTCACCAAGGACGCACTTCTGGCCGATGGACCGCCTGCTTGAGAAGTTTGGCAGCTTTTTTGGATGACATGGGAACGCAGCAGCGTCTCCGGGCACGGCGTCCAAGGTGTATGGGTTTCCTTGAGCAGGGCATCTTCGGCAGAATAGGCTGTGCTGGCTTGGTTGCTGTCAAGCACCGGCAGCAGGAAAATACCTCGGTCATGATGAATTCTGCGTTGCTCTGCGCAAGCTTTTCCGGGCAAGCCGAGTTCGAGGTGCTGTGCTGCTTTGGAAGCTCCTCGTGCCGGTACTGGAGGGTGCCACATTGTCTGGCCCAGCAGCGGCGAGCAGCTCCGCGAGACGTACGTTCGTTGCCCGCCATCTACGACATGTGGCCCCCAGGAGATAAAGTCATTGCACAACTCGAGCTTCTGATGGTGCTTCTTGCCTTGATTGCTAGGCCCAGCATGCTTTTGGTACATAGACAACACGGCGGCACTCATGCGGATTCACCGGATCTGGAGCGTGTGGGAGGCATGATCCACGCGGCGGTTTTTGCCCTGCGGGCCTGGTGGATTCCCAGCAAGAGTAACTGGGCTGATCAGGTTTAGGTCTGGAGGACCCTTGGTGAAAGGCTAACCATTTCACCGCATTTCAAGCGGAGTGTCCGCTCCCCCTTTGGGCTCTCCCATTTTCTCCTCTCGTCCGTATCTTCGAGTTTCTTTAAGTGCGTTGGGATGTCAAGTGCGTTGGGATTCAAGCAGGGGGTGATCCTGCATGGCCATGTAGGGAGCGACCCGTATGGCCTACCATCGAAGCAGGTGTGAACCTGCTGGATCGGTGGGCCATTTAACGCATTACCCTGTGGGTGACACAGGCTGGAAATATGCACGGGCGAGTGCTTGTGATTAAGGAGCTGCACCGTCAGGGCGAGCAGAAACCGTAGATCTAGGTTGACTGCAAGTCGGAATGTAACTTGTCAAACTTTAGAAATGCCAAATCACCCTGCTCTAAAAATGACAAATTCAGTAAACATAAAACAAACATCTGGCCCACTTTTACCAATTATACAAATGAATTAGCAAAGATGTGTTGTGTAAAATGGATTGAAAAATACGGCCAAGATCATCAATTTTACAAATTCTAGTCTGAGAAGTTCACTTCCCGTGAATTAGATTGGAAATCTTACATGTATTGAAAAAATCCGGCCCAAAATTACAAATTTTACAGATTTGGTGGGAAGTAACTTGCAAATATTTTACAAATTTTGCAAGTTAATTCTAAAAAATTGTCATTTGGGGTCAGAATTTATTGAAATTTTTACAAAATTTACCATTTTGTAAATTTTATATTTTCGGAGTTTTTTTGCAAATTGATTTATATAATTTCAAAAACACCCAGCCAAAAATTATACAAATTTTACAAATCTTTACAAATTGCAGTCTGAGAACTTGGCTTCCAGTGGGAATTGGTAGGAATTTAATTACAATTGTTACAGTTTTTACAGATTTGGAAAATTGTAGAATTTGTAATTTTGTGCCAGATGTTTCTGATGTCTTACATATTTACAAATTAATTTGCAATTTAGTTCCTACCCAATTCCCCTGGAAGCGAATTTCTCAGGTTAGAATTTGTAAAGTTTGTAGTTTTGGACTGGATTTTTAGAAATTTTGCAAATTTTGGACCAGATTTTTCTAAATATTTGTAATTTTGGGCCAGATTTGTAAGACTTGTAAAATTTCAAACTTGCCCATTACAAATTTGCCAGTTTTTACAAAATAATTTGTACAATTTGTAATTTGGTTCCTACTAAATTCCCGGCAAGTCAGCTTCTCAGACTAAAATTTGCCAGGCTTGTAATTGAGAGCCGGATGTTTCTGAATTTTTACACTTTTCAGCAAATTAAAAAGTAGAATTTGATCTTAAAATTTGTAACATTGGACCAGACTGTTTTGATATAACTGTTTCCTACCAAATCGCCGTCAGGATGATTATAATATGTGATGTTGATGCTCAGACAGCACAACGCGATAAAAACTTGGGGGTTTGGAATTGAAATTTCGTGAATTGAACGCGTCCAGCGCGCGAGCCCTCGAGAACCCCAAATGGCCGTGAAACCCTTTCTCTCAAGGTCGGGAGATGAATGGTTGCCCAATCGTGCTTCAATGACTGTCAAGGAATTGCGTGGCAATCCCTTATATTGAGCGGCGCCTTTTTGCAGAGTGAGAGTGGACGGCGCTAAAGGGAAAGCGCCGCCGACCTGAGTGCAATCCAAGAAAAATGTGAGAGTTGATGGCTTTAGGCTTTAACGTTAATAATCAATCAATCTAAAAGCATCGGGAGAAACACAAAAAAGCATCGAGAGGGTCGATGGTGACGAAGTGCCCCCTTAAGGTTGCGCCACTTGCGGGCCCTTGCAAGCTGAAAGCAGATGAGGCGGGCGAGTTGCTTTCGACTGTCCGCGCTCGCTTTTTTGAAGTTACGGAACAGGCTCTTTCTTACAACATGGGTTTGTTAACAGTTGTGCAGGTAAAGTCTACTACTTTACTCCAGGCACAGCAGCGATTGAACCGTCTCCCACAGCCACCAGCACGGGTGCAAAGCTTCCCGGACGCACAGCTCCGTCACAGTCTTCATGTTGGCGCTGAGTGTCCGCCACGATGCGCCAGCTGAAGCGCGCGCCTTACAACGCAGCATGCGCACATACACTTGCAACAGCGCAAGCCGAGCGAAAGAAAAGCGAAACAAAGGCGCCAGTTCCATGCGTGGGCCGAAGCGCAGCTGCAGCTCTTGCGCGGTGAAGAGAAGGCTGCCGTTGACGCAGCAAGCTCGCGCTACGCAGGCTTCGCCGCGAGTGCGAAGCGCATCGCCGCTAGCGACTGGAACGAGCGGCAAGCGGGCCTTTTTGGCCGCAAGTGGTATGTTGCCGCTGGGCTGAGCACTCCGTCGGCTTTCACAGGCCCAATTGGAAGATGTTGCGTCGATCAAGCTCGTGCACATGTGAGAGCAGCAAGCGCGGCAGAGACGCCGCGGGAATGCCTCCGCCCGCAAACTGTCCGACCCTGTCTGCAATGCAGTTTTTGAAAGCGATGCTTGGCCTCCATGGGCTCACATCCGCTTTTCTCCCCATGCCTTTTGGTGGTGACTTCGTGTTCTAATTGGCTCGCCCCAAAGACCTGCAAGCGGTCCTTGCCTGAAATCTGATCCCTGCATTTTCTCGGTTGGATTTTGTTGCATAAGGCCTGCCGAAAACAGCAACGTGCCGCGATGTGCCGCGGCGTTTGACCGGAGCGTTGTTTTTGGACGTGCCGCGGCCGTGTTTGCTTGACAATTTGTGAAGGCACATTTTTTTAAGGGGCCCCGCGGAATGTACCGCGACGTGCCGCGATGTGCCGCGGCTTTCCTGCGGAGCAGCGCAAGTGCAGAAGAATCCTGGGACTAGAAACTTGCGAGTGGAGTCAAAAACAAAAACCTTGGCCAAAAGAAACTTGTCGCAGTCGAAGGAGGCAAGGTGGAAAGCAAAATCAAATACTCAGAAAGAAGCAAGCGGATTACGCGAAAGCTTCCTGCGGGGATACGCATGAAGCAGCTGCTGCCCGGGAGGCCTCAAGGAACCAGTCGTGGCGAACCATGTGTTTCACTTTGTTTACAAACATGCTTGCGCATGAAGTGAAGGCTCCCAGGAAAAAATCCGGCTGCTGAAATGCTCACCATGGAAACCCGCCTGTTCCATCCTACGGACATCACATGTGAAGTGAAGGCTCGCATGGAAAATTCCTGCTGCTGAAATGCTCGCCGTGGAAACCCGCGTGTTCCATTCTACGGATACCACACGTGAAGGCTCCAATCCGAAATGCTCGCCGTGGAAACCCGCGTGTTCCATTTTACAATCATGGCTGTGAAGTGAAGGCTCCTATAAAAACAATTCTCGCCGCGCAAACCCGCGGCAGCAAACG